AAGGAAATAAAAATAAGGGTTGGTTGTGGATCAAAATGGTTGATTAACTCAAAGAGTATATCAAGGAGGGTGAATAAAGAGGTAGAAGGAATGGTATGCAGGTCTTAGTGGGGTCAAATGATTGTATAGAAGCTTTGGGAGGAAAGTTAGTGGTGGTTGTCAGGAGAGGAGTGTATGATTTGAGATTATAAGGGATAGCAATTGTTGATAATGACAAGGTCTGAGGTGTGACCATGGGAGTGAGCACCACAGGTAGGATGAAGACAAGACCATTGGCAGAGAGATCAATGAACAGAAAGGCCAGGATGTTTGGAAAATGAGTAATGACCCAGGGCTGGATGGGTGACAGCAACGTTGAAGAGTAGTAGAGAACATAATCTAATGACTTGTTTACATCAGTAATTAAAGGAAATCAGAGTAATGTTGGACCAAATTATTTTTCACAAACGATTGTAACCTCTCTCAATAGCGTCCTTGTCAGATAGTGGATTTTTTAGCCTATGTATGCAATTCTTGCATCCTTGTGTTTTTAGTATTTTCCCAACAGTGCCCCAGAGGCCCGTGCTAGTCATTACTCTCTTTGGTGCTCCTAATTCCTACTCTCTGTCTACTCTTCTGTTAGTTGGTATCCATGGTGAAGAGAATCAAACTCACTGTTGTTAAGTGAAAAGCATCAAAAAGAAAAATCAGTAAATGACAGCCTTCAGGGTAATAGTAGTGGAATTTTTAACTTGAAAATTACTTATGAATAGACTTCACAGTCTTTATAGTCACATGTAAATTATATGCTAATATAGCTCAGCAAACTTTTACACAATTAGTTGAGACTATTGATACTGTGTCTGCTGCCTTATAAGTATCTCCCACTCTTTGTCATAGATGAATACTTGGATTTTGTGTGTAAATAGAATTTTGGGAATAGAAATCATACTTTCTCAATGATTTGCATAAATAATGTAAAAAATGCTTCATCTTAATTTTAAATTAATCCTAATTGGGAGTGATAACAGTTACTCTTCCGAAGTGTTTCTGTCAAGTAGTTAAGTTAATATTTAAATTCCACAGAATTTCTCATTTTTAAAAACCCAGCTGTAGATCATTTTAATGAGAAAAATCAGTCTTAAAAAAAAATCATTTTGAACCATATAATTTTAAGTCAGAATGGACAGCAGAGATTAGTACAACTCTGTCACTTTGTACATGAGAAAATTTTGAGGCCCAAAAAAGAAAAATTGAAGAATTTGTCTCACATCACACATTTAGCTATGGTTAGTGGTAGATATATACAACCCAGATCTTGAACATACTTTCCACTGTGCTATACTGGTATCTAGTTTATATATTTGTAAATAGCCATGTTGCCATATTATCATTTTATATCATGCACCAAGTTAATATAGTCTATTGGTAAAGGGCTCATAAGTGCAACTAAAAGAGAAATATCTTCCTAAAACTATACACCTGGATACTTTATTTGACTGTTGAATGGAGCCATATTCAAACCTCACCAGAATCACATTAGTATATTTGAGCCCACAGAATTTGTCATTGAATCTGAATTACTCTCAGGTTTTATCTTACTTTAACAAAGTTTTAGAAAACTGGGGTTTTAGGTGCCACTTCTCTCACTTACCTCTTGTACAGCCTTGAGCAAATCATTTAACCGCTAATGGTTCTTAATTTTCTCAACCATGAAACGGAGATAATAACTATACTTAACCTCACAAGGTTTTTGTAATAATCAAATGTGACAAAGATGCAAAAGGTTTTTTTTGAATATTTACTATGTTCCAGATAATTTACCAGTTGATAAAATTAAAATCGCCTACTCTTATTAGAAACAAATCTGATCTTATTATCTATGAGTAAACTTTTCACATGTCAACTAGTTAATTTCATATATACAAATTTTATTTTTGTAATTTATCTTTTCACAAAATGTTGTCTTCTGTTACTCAAGCTGTTACATTTTGCTGTTACACTTATTTCTTTGATCATATTAAAATTTGGTAAGTGTTCCTTTATTCATTGTTTGAAAAACTACAAGGTAATTAATTATATGTTGATAACTATCTACTTAATTCCTTTTCTAGATATACTATGATTCTTTTTATTACCTGGATTTTTTAAATCTTTCTCAATGAGACTGAATGACAGAATTACTTTTTACAGAGGACCAATGCCATTCGTTGATATAAACTAAAGTTCTCTGATGCAAATGTCCATTAGGCCTCTTGCTGAAGACCAGGGGAGAGGGAATATTGATAGGTACAAAATCTCTGTCTTCTATCAACTTTTTATAAAATGTTAAATTTGGTCATCAGAATGTAGATTTACATTTATGTCATTGAACCCCTTTTATCCATGTTTTATATTAATATGAAGAAATAAATTCCTGTCAAATAGCATATTAATATAACAGATGCATGAATAATGCACATGGAACAATTTTATTTTTTAACTAAAGAAAATTTTAAAAGTTTGATATTTTAAAGATAAAGTTCTAGTAATTGTTTTTATATTCTTTGTACTGTTATAGTTTAAAGGCAAATTGTGGAATCTCAAGATAGATCATTTTACTATAAAAGTTGAAAATTAAGAAAATCAGGTAAAATAATATACATGATTTGAAATGTGTTGCCTGTTTTAAATACTTTGATTAAGTAACCTTTGTTAAATGCTTGGAAACACAAATAAGGAAGCCAGGGTCATATTTGTGACTGGGTTTCCTTCTTGCAACTCCTCTTTTATGAGTTGCTAGACTGCTGAACAACAAAAAGCAACAGCCCCCACATTAAAGGGATTTAATTTTTTTTAAATTTTAGGTGATAATAGGGGATAATTATTTTCAGCAAAAAATACATATATATATATATATATATATATGTTCTAAATATTGCTGACAAGGAAATGTATCTCATGGAAATTAACAATACTTAGTATTTTAATATCAATGCCATATGAACTCATTCAGTTTTAAATGCTCTAATCCCATGTATTCAAAAATGAATATTCCCAATTAATATACCTAAATGTATTGATTTCTTTTCCAATTTTATATTTTCACAGTGTTTATTTTCTTAGAAATCTACTTGCTTTAGAGAAAGTTTATTATAAAGTCCTAAGCATTGTTAGTGGTTGGATTGTTTGTTGTTAAATAAGGAAAGAGATTAAAATGTATTGGCTTTATGTCTTCATCTTTCTTCTCATATCGTACCCCCTCCCCAACACCACCTTGAAGAGAATCTCAGGTCCACTACTATTACCTCAGTAGACTGTGAGAATATGAAATAATTAACAGATTGTGTTTGCATAAATGTTGGCAACTAAAAAACTAAGAAGTAATTTATATGTGTAGTGTTTAATTATGTGCCCTTAGATAGGAAATTTGATACTAAGAACTTGAGGCAAATTTTATTATTGAACAGTTTTGGGGAAAAGAAAAATGCTTAAGAAACATTTTGCATATGTGGAATAATAATGGTCTTGGGTAGATTCATTATTGGTGGGTTAGGATGTACTAGGTATATTCTTGATCTGTCCTTCTTTAACCCATAGTGATATTCATGAAATGGCTGGCTGGAAATCATTTCATAGTCTGGAACCTTGGAACAGATTTTACCCCCTGTGCAAAGCTAATTGACCCAGATAGGAAATGAATCTGCTGTATTCAAACAGCAGCACTGTGTTCTAAAGGTTGAGCAAGCCAGGATAAATAAGTGTTAAGAAATGAAATAGTCACATCATTGCCATTACAGAATATCATTATAGACACATTCATGAAACTGGAAAAATATGTCCATGATATTAGTTTTATTTTCATTGAAAATGGTGAAATAACTACAAGAAATAAGCATACTGCCAAATCCTTCAATTGGAGACATATGTGTTTTGCATAGAACAGCATTCTTTTCTCTTGGTTTTCTTTTTTGTTTGTGTTAGTACTTTTGGGCTAGCAGTGGCTATTCAACAGAATGTTTACAGAGATGTGCATATACTTTTGTTGAATCATCTACTACTGATTTTACACACTAAGTCTGCTACTTTTCCTAACTTATATTCTTTTGCGTTGCATGTATGCTTCAAATTATATTTAGTCTTTCCTTAGGGCATTTCTTCTGCCTATGTGATTGCTTTACTTAGGATCAAAGTAAAGCAAATACTTTTGTGTTTTTAAGGTCACCCACAGCTTCTACAGCATTTAGGCAATTTAATGTCTATGAAATAGCTATGCTGCAGAATCTCATCATCATGACATTTAACATTCAGCCATAGCACACACATTGTCCATTATGAAAACTCTTAAATTCAGTTAATGTTAAAGCAGATTTTCTTCACAATTACTAGATATACTTTGACATGTTTCATAGCATTTATAATATTTTTAAATACTAATATTAATGCTAATATTCATTTGGGAAATAATTTAGGTTGTCTTAAATTCATACATTTATTTTATTGTCTTCTTTTTACAAATGAACTGGAGATTATACTCAATTTGTCTTAAGAGATCAACTTCTTGAATTGCTGTTATTTTAGCAGTTTGTTCTAAGAAAATTGAAACTTTGATGGAAGATGAGCTCAGGTGATCAGGACATTGATTCAGGTGTACTTGGCATAGCAATTAATTAACTCTGTTAATTATCTATGATTACTTCTGAAAAGCTATAGTGGCTTCATCTTTTAGGTTACTTCATTAAATCATTAATTTTCTTGGAGGTAACTAGGCCTGACATAATTAAGTCATCTTAGTCTCCACAGATTTTTTATCTTCCCGTGATGCTAAGAACACTTGAGGTAGTTAATATAAGGCATTGTAACTTACTTCCTGCATGTATTGACTGCATATTTTTCAATTATTTATACTATTTTCCCTCATTTTATATTATATTTAAACAATCTCATAAATGTGTACCTTTTAAATATTAATGTTTAGCTTGAATTTTGGATTTCCTGTGTAATAAGCCCATTTATGTATTTGAACCACTCCCTACCCACAGCTCTTTGACCCATGGCTATGTGAAGCTGCTTCAGTTTATCCAGAACATCATTTATGAGGAAGGATTTGATGGATCCAATCCCCAGGTATTAAGTACCTTCAGAGTTTTTTATAATCATGTATGCAATGTTCTCAAACTCTTTAGTCCCAGAAGGTCTGCAAATAATCAACAGTGAACAAGTTGTTTCCAAGTGCAAAAGATGTAAATAAGCAGAGCACAGGCAGCCTTAGTTTGACTGTTAATGTGTGGTTAGAGTTTTAACTAAGTTCTCAGTGGATGCACAGAAGATATACACATACACTTTCAACATTAATTATTTTTAAATATGTATGTATAGCAACTGGAGTTAATAGACATATTTTGAAAGTAATTCTTAAATCTGCAAGACTTGTACTTTCCCTTCTAAATTTTTTATATTTCTGTCATTCAGTCCTTAATTGAATAACCTTTTAAGTAAGAATTAATTCTTTTAAGATTTTATTTCTAATTATATTATGCTTTGAGTCATCTCATTAAACAAAGATGCATTTTTATTTGCTATATTAAAATATTTTATAACTTAACTATTTCTCTGTAACTCTATTTTTAAAAACTTCTTCCAAATTCCCACTATTAAAAATGTTCTGGTTAGTTTAACTTACACAAAGTGAGGAGAATTTTATTTCTAGATATCATGCATTTCAGAATTCTTCATCAATGATTTTAATTGCTATTGCTGCTTAAAAAATTGCATTTCATTTATATTATTTTAGCAGGATTATTTCCAGAACACCATTATTTTTATTGAAGAAGACAAGCCAAAAGTCTTATTTTTGGCATTATCAACTACATTTGCTCTTCACTCATAGATTTTAATATATTCTTATAAACTTTACTGCTGTATTTAATACTTTCTCCATGGCAAAATCAATGATTTTTAGATTTGCTTTGGTCATTTTAATAGCAAGTTGAAAAATGTCTTTGTGTAGTGAAACACAAACATTTATTTATAGATGACTTTTCATGTATTTCAGTTTTTGTGGTGATCCTTGGTATTCAAATGCAATTTTATTTAGGTCATTGTTCTCCATTTTTGGTCCTACCTAAGATTTATGGGCACATGTCTTCCCTTTGGTGGCAGTGCCTGCCTGAAGAGGTAAATTGGTCCCTGACAGACACCTCTCCCCACTCCCTGTGGTAACTATGGAAACAGGCATGTCATAACAGTTCCTGTGGTACAGTGTGCAGAGCTGCTGCTCTTGCAAGATGATAACACGTCTTCTAAGAGCAAGAAATTTTATAGAATGAAGAAAAGAAAATAACAAAGAGATAACACATATACTGACATATACATATGTATATACAGCCATGATTATATGTATGTGTAGGTATGTATATATAAATATGTATGTATGTATATACACATACACACACACATCTGAAGGACCTTATAAGTAAGCTATCATTGGATTACAATGAAAGGTATGTTTTCTTAGTTGCTTGTTTGAATGTGAAAACAGCACCATGTTCAATAAACAGTATTTTATTTCATGAAAATTTATAGACAACAAATGAGGTGGTTTGTATCCCTGAACCAGTGGTTCTGTAGTTATTGACTTTCATAAGGATTAATCAGAGTTGACATAAACAGTTCTATGGTGAACACTTAAGAATGCTAGAAAAAAAATTAAATATACCAGTAAGTTATAAGGTATATTTCCAATGAATTTCCATATTGTTACACTGTAGAATGTATAGTTTGCTAAATGGCCAAGTCTGTATGTCTGCCTCAGATCTTTAGATGAATTCAAGAAGCTACTAAAGTGCATCTGTTGGACTCTACTTCAAAGAATATTATTCCTGAGTCAAAATAGTATTCTGACACTGAAATAAATCCTTCTTGAAAGAAATTTTCATCTTAGTTTCTCTATCACTACATTTTCAAATAAACTAAACTAGTTGTAGTCTACATATATGAATAGATTTTAAGGAACTGAGTATTATATACAAATGTATAGTTAATCTTAGTTACAAGTAAAGTAGTGGAGCTTATCTGTAAAGATATCTGGAGTGGAAACATTTACAAATTGCTACCATAATTTCATTTGTTTTTAAGTTATAGTTTTCAGGTATCTCAGAAATAAACAATAAAAATGAAATTTGAACATTGATTTTGCTTAGAATACCAATTGTTTTCAACGTTCTCATAGGAATAAATTTAACTGTTGTTCAGCTTTCAGCAGTTTATTTTTAAAATTCTTTTATGCTTCACAGTATGCTCCATTAGTTTGTGTTACAGCAAAGGAATTATGTCCTAAATGGCACAGGAAGTTTGTAATTCAGCCTTTGTTACTGCAATATTTTTTAAAATATTAATATATTCCCTATATTGAAGTATTGCGCTGAGTTATGTTCTGATATGCCGAGTACCTACCTCACTTAAATATCTTGATATTAATTCTTTAACTTAATATTTTCATTCTTTATATATATATATCAGTATATCTGTCAAAGTCATTAAACTTTTGTAGTTCTAATTCCATGCCTAACAGCATTTGGCATATATATTTACCACCTCTACTGATTTTATCTCCCTGACCTGTTATAAATCAGAAAAAGAACTGGAAAGTCAAAGTAAAAGAGGTAGCCTATTGGTTAACAAAACTCAATGTGTTTACCTCCTTCCCACTTTCCTTTAGAAAAAACAGAAAAACATTTTAAGAATAGGAATCCAGAATCTTGGTTCACCTTTGTGGGGAGATGACATTTGCTGTACAGAAAATGATGACAAAAGTCACAGTCTTACAAAGTTCCTCTATGTCCTCCGTGGTCTTCTGCGGACCTCTCTTTCAGCCTGTATCATCACAATGCCAACACATCTTATCCAGGTAAGAACTTTCCAAAACCTCTTTCCCTAACTAGTGGTACAAAGTGAAGAGTAATATATAAATGCTTTATGAATTTGGTAAAATATTTTCATATGCTGTTTAGATAAAAGAGGCTTCAGATGCTTGAAATGCCAAAGCAACAAAACATCTTTTATTTTAGATTGTTAAATTCTGTGTGTTTGTGGTTTTAATATGAAATCCTCAGTGAATGTATGGTAAATCCATCTTTACTGATTTTATTTTTTTCCTCTGATTTCTTGTGAACTTGCTATTATCACTGTGATGTGAGGTTGATTTTTGCTGTGACATCTTTTCATTAATCATAAAGCTGATCTGAACATAGGTCTTGAAGAGAGATTTGTACACCTATGTTCATAGCAGCATTATTCACGTTAGTTAAAATATGGCAGCAGCCTGAGTATCCATAAACATGGATAACAAAATGTGAGGTATGTTACAGTGGAATATTATTCAACTTTAAAAAGGAGGGAAATTCTGACATATGTAATGGCATGGATGACCTCCAGGACATTATGCTAAATGAAAAAGTCAGTCACAAAAAGACAAATACTGTGATTCCAATCATACAAGCTACTTAGAGTGGCCAAAATCATAAAGACAGAAAGTATAGTATAGTGGTTGCTAAGGGCTAGGGGAAGAGGGAAGGGTAAGTTATTGTCTAATGGGTACAGAGTTTCGGTTTTACAAGATGATAACAGGTCTGGAGATGGTTGGTGGTGATGGTAGCACAACATTATGAATGTATTTAATACCACTGAACTGTACACTTAAAAATGGTTAAAATGGTAAATTTTATGTTACGTGTATTTTACCATATTAAAAATTTTGAAGGAAAAAAAATAGAGCTGATTGAATAAGAAAAGTCTCCTTCTTTCCCAGTTTCTATGTACAAACCTCCTGAAGTTACACTCTCAGGAAAAGAGGTCTGTCTCCCCAAATAGAGAAAAATGATCTTTGAAGATTTTCTTCATCAGCTCATAAAGTCCTTTTCTTACGAGTGTTCAAGGGGCAAGTTTGAGACTATTTTCATCATTATTACTGTTATTTTACGGGTAGTAAAGGAACAGGAATTGTATATTCCCACAGTATTATTATATATGTTTCTATAACATAATACTAGAAATAACTAAAAACATATATGTAGTGAATGGAATGTGAAAGTCAAAATAAACTAAAGCACTGAAATCATTTTTTCTAATGCACATACTAAAACACTTTGACTTGAAATGACTTTCATAGCAGAGAAGTTTTGAGTTTGGTTTTGCTGTACTCCTCTAGGAAATAACAATACTAACAATAATGATAGATGCTAACAAATATAAAACACTTATTTTAAGTCAGGACCTAACAGTTCTTACAGAATTTTTATGTAACTACTGTCTTTATCTCCATTTTACCCATAAGGAAACTGAGGTGCAGAGAAGTTAAGAAACTAGATCCAGGTTTAAAACTTGAGAAACCATGTTTCAAACTCATAAAATTGGGTTCCAAAACCACATACTAGAATATGTAACAGGTTTTTATTCTGGAACTTACTCTCTCAAAGCTAGAAAAATCTCAAATCTTCAATCTTAGAAAAGGGAAGCACTTGAAGGGCTCCTCTCAACTGATAAAACACTTGGACAAGTAGAGTATTATCCCTATTTTGCAACTGAGATCTGAACTAAAATGCCATGTTAAGTAAATCAAAGAAACAAGGACTATACTTTGTGAGCCTACAAGGGCCCATGAAAACCTTTCATTTAATTAATATAACAGAAATATAAGAAGTAATTGAAGTGAGGTTCTCCAAAGAGATAAAGAAATGCCATTTGAAAATGCTTTACCTAAATATACTGTCCAAGAGTTAAAGCTGAGACTTTGTTTAAGGGCTAGGAAGTTTGTGAAACGTGTCACAATACTTGAGCATTTTTCCAATCTACAAGAAAAGGATTTTGCATTTTGTTCATATTTGCCTTAAGAAAAAGTTGCTATTTTAAGTGACTCTTTAAAAATGTTAAGATTGGCTGATGTGGCACCATATTCCTTCCTCCACAGGGAGAGAAGAGTATAATTGACAGTGTGCCCCCATACATTGTCAGTGACTTGTACTTTTGAGGTTTCTGAGGGTTACCATAGCAACTTCCTATTGTTCAAGTTAACATCCCTCTTCAATAATTATAAAATTTAGCAAAATAAAAATTAGATCATAATGTGAAAAAAATTGACTTTTTACATCAAAACTTCTTACATCCAAAAAAACCGAAAAAATATTCTGCACTTCTTATAAATTTAGTTATTGAAGCAGTGTTTTTTATCTTCATTCATTCATTCATTCATTCATTTCTTCTACATTGTTTTTCAGTGACTGATATATGCTCTGACCCACTATATGTATATCACCAGACATTTTTAAATGAATAAAAGATACTAGTTCCTTTCAGGGACCTTGCTTTCTAATGGGGAGGTAAACATTGAAAAGATGTGTTACAATCTAAAAATAAAATTAAGAAAACAGTTACATTCACCATAACATCAAAAAGAATAAAATACTTAGGAATAATTTTCACAAAACAAGTATAAAACTTTTACTCTGAAAGCTACAAACCATTGTTGAAAGAAAGTAAAGATCTAAATGAATGGAAAAACGTCCCACATTCATAGACCAGAAGGCACAAAATTGTTAAGATGACCATATTCTCCAAACTGATCTCCAGGTTAAGTGCAACCCTATCAGAATGCCTCTTCCTTTTTGGAGAAACTGGCAAGCTGATTCTGAAATTCCTTAGGAATTTCAAAGGACTTACAACAACCAAAACAATCCCAAAGAAGAAGGAGGGCTCATACTTCTCAATTTCCAAACTTCCTTCAAAACAATGGTAAACGTGTAGTAGTAGCATAATAATAGGCATGTAAATCAACAGAATATAGTTGGCCATCCAAAAATAAACCCCTACATCTATTAGGATCAACTGATTTTTGACAAGGGTGCCAAGACCATTCAATATGAAAAGAATAGTCTTTTTCAACAAATGGCATGGGACAACTAGATAGCCACATGCAAAAGAATGAAATTGGACCCTTATCTCATACCATGTACAAAAATTAAGTTGCAAAGGATCAAAGACCTAAATGTAAAAGCCAGAACCATAAACCTCTTAGAAGAAAACTTAGGGGTAAATCTTCATGACATTGGATTTTGTCAAAGGATTCATAGATATGACACCGAAAGCGCAAAAAACAAAAGAAAACAATTGATAAATTGGACTTCAGCAAATTAGAGACTTTTGTGCTTAGAAGAACACCATCAAGAAAGCAAAAAAACAACCCACAGAATGGGTGAAAATATTTGCAAGTCATATATCTGATAAGGGATTTGTATCTACAATATTTAGATTGTGGCATTAAAGAATGCTTACAGCTCAATAATAAAAAAGATAACTCAGTTAGAATATGGGAAAACACTTGAATATACATTTTTCCAAAGAAGATATGACAGATGGCCTAATAGCATATGAAAGATGCTGAAAATCATTAGTCATCAAAAATGCAAACCAAAACCATAATAAGATACCACTTCACAACTTTTTGGTTGGTTAGAATAAAAACTTGTAGGTGTTGGCAAGAATGTGAAGAAAATAGAACCCTCATACTCTGCTGGTGGGAATATGAAAGGATGCAGGTGCTTTGGAAAACAGTCTGGTACTTCGTCAATGATTAAACATAAAGTTACCATATGGCCCAGCAATTCCACTCCTAGATACCCAAAAGAAATGAAAACATGTGTCCACATAGAAACTTGTATGTGAATGTTTGTAAAACTATTGTTCATAATAGCCAAAGGAAGGAAATAATCTACATCTCTGTTAACTGATGACTAGATAAGCAACATGTGGCATATCCATACAGTGGAATATTATTTGGCTATAAAAAAAGTGAAGTACTATTACTTGCTACAATGTAGAAGAACCTTGAAAATATTACGTGAAGTAAAAAAAGCCATCAAAAAAGAACAAATACTATATGATTTCATTCATATGAAAGCCCTGAATAGAGAAGTTTATAGAGACAAAGTACATAGTGTTTGCTCTGGGCTTTAAGGTATGAGGGGACAGGGAGACTTGGGAAAGATGGGGTGTTACCTCTGTTTTCACAAGGTCACACAATTAATAAGTGGCAGAGCCAGTAGGTCTTAACCTGTGTCTCTCCCTGACACAATGCCCCACCATCTTCACTGTTAGGTTATAAAGCTGCCCTAATCATCTTGAAATTCTACAAGATACATATGATTCCAGTTGCAAAGAAGAAATAAATTTTGAAGTTAAGTGATTCTCCAAAGTCACACACTTATTACATGTTTAAAGCTAGTATGAAATTCAGATCTGTTTAAAACTTGGACTGTTCCTTCTCTGTCACATTACATCCTATGTCTCTTAAATTACTAACTACCTTTGATGGTAGCAACTTTCCATAAGGAAAAAAAGTTCTAGGCTAACATTGCTCTTGTTCAGTAGTTTTAAAGAGAAAACTATCATTGTAAAATCTTTGACAAATTAGTACATATGAAATATTAAATTAAAAAGTTCCATTCCAGAAAGGGAAGGAAAAAAAGGATGGAAGCGTATTTCCTTATGTGTAGTTGCAAAGCAAAGAAAAACAATTATGAAATAAATGTTAAGTACAGATATAATTTTTAGTTTATTCCAAAGGCACCTATGCAAAAAAAAATGTTTTTCAAAAGCCATTTTGGTGGTCATCTTTATTATTTAGAAGAGATTCAAAACTCATTGTGAATGTTTGTGACAATGATTCCTCTAGTCACAGTACAGTTTAAAGCAGTAATACTATCAGATGACTGCAAGTCATCCTATCTACACCACTGAATAAATAATGATTGAGATAATAAAGTAGACTGGATGTCTGAACATAAAGCAATGTTTGAATTCTGGTATTTTACAGCTGTATTTAAACCCTTGTATAACTGGAAGAGATATAGTTTA